TTACGATGTATTTCCAAGACAAATTGAGAGTAGGATAATCTGACGCGCTTGTTTCGGCTATAGTAATTAGGCCATTACAAACTGATATGATGTGTTTCATAGATGAATAATAAATCTATATAGTACGTAAAAACAATTGTCAAAAATAATGTACCATCGGAAATGTCCATCGCAAGCATCTCATGGTATCCCGTATTGAGCTTATCCGCTGATGATAAAAATTCAGTGACAAATTTTAAAAAATCTTCAAGGATTTTGAAAGCTTGCTTATGCCACGTAGAGCTTAATTGTAATAATTCTTTGTTTTGAGACAACTTATTTATTAATGCCGGCATCTAAATTTATCCAAGTTTGTACAGTATTAAAAATACCGGTAACAATATAAAAACATATTATAGTAAGGATTTTGTGACTTAATGAACCTTGACGATTACGAAAGCACTATGGCTCGCCTTAAGAATACATGAACTAACGCTGGAAAACACACTGGATTGATGATCTAATCCCATCAATAATAAACCATCTTGTGATATACTACTTGTTATTTTGTCACGTAAACTTTGCATTATGTCGTTTATAAGATAAAAACATGACATATGAATCTATCATAGAAATGACAATCAAAGTATGAATTTTCACAGGAACTTATTTAAGATAAAACGCTCAAAATGTTTCGATAAAAAAAAGTATAATTTGGGAACCGGTTTTATTTTCATATGTTAAAAATCGGTTAACTAGGTTTAACAATATGAAAATAAAACCGGTTCCAAACTCTAGAAAAAGTGATTATACTTTAACGAATGTTGATACACCAATTAAATCATCTGTATCTTGCGTTTGAACCGCGATTTCACGTAACGAAGCTTCAACGGCATCAGATAGAGAATGAACCTAATTATGATAATAATTTGTTTGAAACCACAAAATTTAAGGAAAAAAATTTATTCGACTATAACAGATGTTTGCTTACCGCTTGAAGCCCTAACACTATCTCGTTAATTAAATTCGATATTGTATGTCTTTTAAGTCGCAATAATTCTTTAAAACAATCTACCGCACGTGCCCTGACAGAAAAAGAAATAGGAGCACGGATTGCATAGTATAAAGAAAGTCAAGGAAAACCAATGAATAAATTTATTGCAATAAATAGCAAATTATTTATAGGATATAGCTAGAAGAATTAAAGTTCGTGGAAGTAAATTTTCTTCATAATTATTATCATTGAGTTTTTGTTCGATATTTTGTATGTTTTGAATTAAAATATCAGGCTGAAGGGTGTTAGCCTGTAGAAGCGATTCAAAGTTTTCTAATATGCGAGAATTCATTTCGAAATTCAATACGCGTATTGCAGTATGTAGAAAGAAATGATTTTGTTATTGCGACATTTCATAACAGCCAATGATATTCCAAGGATCGACAACCAACCAATCAGATAGATTTATAATTTCAGCTTGACACGTCCAATTTTGTCTTTGCGATATGAAACGATATGCACAAACCCGTCTGTTCGAAAAATCTGATGCAAAGCAAGACGTGATAAATACAAGAAAAAAGGCAAAAACTCTCGATATATCAACTAACAATGAACAAAATTTTATTCAACTCGAGATGTCCCAAGCTCAAGTGTATTATTATCCTTCCATTTTCTCCTTACAAGACTGCTTGAAATATTATTCCGGCTTGGCTTCTCTTCCTTATTGGTCTCGTCCAGTTTTTAAAATATTTGGACGCCAGGCAAATGCAGCTCGACTCACTTGCTCTTTTGGTTCAACTCCCGACAAGGTTTACCGTTATTCCGGAACTGCCGCAAAGGTTGATTCAATTGAATATCCACCTTCTATAAAAATTATCCAAGACAAAATTGAATCAATTTTAGATACAAAATTTAATTTTGTTTTGTTAAATTGGTACCAAAATGGTAATGATTATATTGGCGCTCATTCAGATGATGAAGGAGGCCTTGTACCTCAAGGAGTCATTGCTTGTGTTAGTTTTGGTGCACCAAGAACTTTTAAATTTCAAAATAAATCTGACAAAAAGTTAGTGAATAAGATAGTACTTGAAAATGGATCATTGATTGTTATGAAAGGAACAACTCAACAATTTTGGAAACACTTAATTCCAAAAGAAAAAATTATTAAAGATGGTAGAATCAGTTTAACTTTTAGACAGCTTAAATGAATCAAAAAATTTATTAACTCTAATTTCATTCTGCTTTAAATAATTAACTATATAAAATCCTAAATTTTCATTTTGTTTTTATTAATCTTAATTTCCCTGGTGAGTATACAAAATTATCAGCATATACTTTTTTTTGGAACTTTCGTTCATTATGTTCTTGAACATAGTAATTCCATCCTGTTCGATGAAAATATTTTATATATTTTAATTTAATTGTTAATGAAAAATCAAATAAGATATATACGTGTTTGTACCAATGTTGGAAATCTAAGGTTCTCAATTTTCCTCAAAGATTATTAAAATTAAAAATTTTTTTGAGAATCAAAAATTTTCAGATTTCCATCATTGATTTGAACCATTTTATGATTTGAACCATTTTATAATTTACCTTGCTTTTCTGCAAAATGCATTGCATCTTCTTTCGAAGCAAAATTCATTCGTAAAGCTTGCACATAATCACCGCTTAATAAAGTTCAGATAAAAAAAGTGTAAAAATATTTCTCATTCCAAAAAAAAAAAATTTTTTATAAACTTACCTGCTAGTCCATCCCATCAATGGATTTTCCCATCCGCCACTACTTCCTAGAGTATCAAAATCAATTCTCCAATGTCTAGTATTAAATTCTCCTGATTGCATGGCGCTTTTACTACGTTTATAAATTCTTACGGTTCTATGTCGTAGTTCCTCTGATTTT